TGAGTTACTTCTGAAGAAGGCACAGACATTGGTATGGACAGGTGGGCAAAATATGTTGAATTATTCACAAACTCCAGTTTCAACAACAAACGAATGCAAAAAAGAAGTTGTTTGTTTCATTTTGCTTTTCTTAAAGAAATAATTTTTGGCGGAATTCATCTGTAAGGGTGTTCGTCCCAAAGGAGATTTGCGTGACAACATTTTCAGGAAGCTGGAAACTGAAATTCAAGTGAGCAAGCAGAGCCATGGAGAAGACAGACTCCCTCTGGTCAGCTAGAGTCTGATAAGCTGGAGTTATTTTCATGGCTTCTTTTCAGTGGTATTAGATCTGATGCCTTTCTCTACTGTGTGGCTGCCAGAAAATTTCATATGGGGAAATTAAAAACACTAAATATGTTAATACAGTATAAAATAAAGTCTGATTCTCCCAAGTGAGCATTATTAGCATTTATGGATCTGCAAATAGTGTTCGTTTTTCTCCCACCATGTCCTAGTATCCCACTTGTTAAAGAACTGCTTTTGATTTGTAACCCTAAATTTACAGTTTAGGAGCCCATATCTGAAATAACAAATTTGCCACTAACTACAAAACACTGAAAGAAAAACAGACCAGTGTGTAACTTGGACTCAGCAGCCACCAGCTGCACCTCATCTTGCTAGTCTTTAGTTGGCTTTTTTTATACAAAAAAAAAAAAAAAAGGGCGGGGACTTCTAAGAGTCAAGTTACACAACTCTCATTTTATTTTTAAAGTGAGTAGATTCCTTGTTGCGTTGTTGAGGATGATAAATTGATACCACATGTTGCTTCCAGACAAAAAGGACTCTGTACTGCAGTGGAAGCACTTGCAGCTGGTGTCTGAGTTAGTGGATGGACTCCACAAGGTAAACATGGCTTGGAAGAGGCTGGAACAGGCACAGAGAGGGGGAATTTTCTCCATTTTAAAGGCTCAAGCATTTGCTGCTGTTGCCTGACCGGGTCTGAGTGTTGAAATAACATGCAGTCCCAGCCTCCCTGGGAGACTGGTTCAGTTGTTTGTATCAAATGAAGGATACAGCACTTTGGAAATGTTTTGAGTGTCCTCTCTGTCAGCTTACCCATTTGTAGTCTTACCAAAATATCGAGAGAGACACATGGTAGGACATGTGTCTCTGGGGGGGTTTTTGGTAGCAAAATGTGGCTGAATCCCTTGAGGAGTATTAACTGAATAAAATGCGGTGCAGTGGATCAACATTTATTAAAGCTGAGATCAGCCTAAGCCAAGGTAGGACAGGAGCCCCACTTGCCTGTGGCACTGCACCACCCTCTGCTCGCACCAGTTTCGCTCTACCTCATGTGTGTTCCTTCGCCCTGCAACTTCCTTGTCTCCATGGACAGTCCCTCTTCCCTGCAGGACCACTTTTGAAGGGGACTGGGACCCAGCTGTTTGGCCTCAGGGCAGTATATGATGCTCTTGATGTTATCTGCAGGAACCTCAGTCTTCTGGCTCTTAGCAGAGCGAATGGCATTCTTCAAGACCAGTATAAATAGTAACACTAATAGAGGGAGGAGCTCATCATATTTCTTTTCAGCTCTGCTTATGTACAGTCCATATGTTGTACCCATCGGTGGTATCTGAGCTGTCTGCAGCCTGGCTAGCATCTATCCCATACATATGGTCTCCAGGACAGATGATGGAAGTTCCTTTATAGATCTTTTAAAGTTTCTCATTGCATTTTGGCATGGAAAAATGTGTTATGCTTCCATCATCGTGGCCTAATTCATCTCCCACATAACTCAAAGACATATCCCTATTATTTTCATCAGCAGTGGCTTCAAATGATGAACTGTATTTTCTTTGCTTCCTCACCTCCTTTGTGGTTTGTTGCATGGTCATATAATAGTAGTGCACATGGTTGTGAGCAGTGATTGTCCCAAGATATTTTCCTATAATTTAAGCAGATAGGAATATTTTTTGACAGCTCAGAAAACAGGTAGAAAATAAGGTTATTTCCATCCAGATTGCAGCCTGGTAGCACAGTGCAACAGCCTTTACTGATGTGAGTTGTCAATCCCTGTGGCTTCTGTAGCAAAACTTGCATGTGAACGGATAATAGGATCCAGCCTTAATTTGATTTGGCAGAGCATCCAACAGAAGGAAAAACCAAGAAACTCAGATACTGTTGCTGAAGAGGTTAGCGGGGGAGGCTACGTGAAAGAAGTGGGTTCTAAGGCAGTGTTTGAGCAGAGGGTGGATATGGGGTACACAAAAATAAATTGGCCCATAATTATGCTTAAGAAAACAATCTTCCTACAGAAGAAAAGCAAAGAAAAACAGAAGCAGGAGTGTAAGTGGCATAGTGCTTAATGTAAAGGAAAACAAACTGCTTGGATTTTTTATAACCACCAATTTTCAATGCAAAAGGATTATTACATTCTTTTATTACTTGTGGAAAACCAACACTGAGCAAAAAGATATAATAATAAGAAAATTACACATGTGCACATACGTATCCACACATGCAGGAGTCCTCATCCTGAGAGGTGCCTCAGTCTCACAGTTTTACAGTTTAGGATTTTTCATGGTTTTAGGCCAAATAGTTTCATACTATGGATACCACCGTCAGAAATAAGCTCTTTTATGAGAATACTACAGGCTGAAAACTGTTAGCTGCTGGCATTTTGGCTGAATATTTTTATATCTGAAGCTGTGTGCGGCACACTGTGTACGCCACCTTGGGTGTTTCTTTTCTGTGTTTTCTAAGATTTATTTTTCATTAGCAAGAGTCACGATGCTGTGAATTCTTATACCCAGCATTTTTAGGTGGGGAACAGCATGGTTTATATTGTTCTTATATGGCTCAGTGTGGTGGTCTAGCTCTGATTGTCCTCATCCTGCTGGCAGCTCTTTCTGAGAAGAGATCCTCACGCAGATGTTTTCACATGTGTTTGTCCATGAAAGTTACAGGGAATGGATGTGAGAGCTACCTGCATTGATGCAGTCCAAGCTGGAATATCAACAAAGGCTATTTAAAAAAAAGAAACAAAACCAAAAACAGTTCTTCAACCAGTTTTACAGGGAGAAACCTGAGGAAGTAAGCAATGGTGCCTAGTTATTAGAAGTCAGACTGTTGCCAGACTCAAAATATAGTTAAAATGTCATCAGTTAAACAATAAAAAGCTCTTTCCTTCTTTAGACTGAAGAGCTATTATGGTGTGACTCAATCCACCATATTCTGATGGGATGATAGTACCGCAGAAATGGACAAGTTTATAGCTGAGGCACTGACCCAAACTTCTCTTGAGCATGTCAGCAGAGTCTGATCTGCTGCTTTGTGTAAATTGTTTAAAACATAACAGTTGCTGTTTTGAACCATAGTCCATATGATTTCTCTTTTCATTAAGTGATAATCACAACCACGTCTGCTGTCTGCATGTGAGAAGAACTTCAGACGTGTTTTGCATTTCGCACTCTGACAAAAACCACAACACTCAACAGTGGGGAAAAAAAAGGCATTTTGTACTGAAAAGAATTATTTTTAAAAATGCTAGGCTGTGTTTCTGTGTACATCAAATATATCTCCAGTTTACTTATGTCAAGCATCCATTTATCCTAAGGATGCAAATGTTGAAGCACTTGTGAATGATTCGTTGATTGATTCATTCTTTGCCCATTTAAATCTGGAATTTCTTCGGTGTTTTGTAAATGAAGGACACTTTTCCTGGATAGTTTGATGATGCTATGGTCCTGTTTGTGTTTTTAAAGAATGTTGATAGGACAAATGTGATTTTATCCTTTTCATAGGTATAGCTGGTAATTGCCCAAATTTAACAAAAAAGAGCTCTGCAGCTCTTTAAACTTGGAGGAATAGCACAAGGCATTTTTCAAAGGAATGTGGGATAGCTCCAAAAATCTTTTTACTTCCTCATTGGAAAAAAGGTTTGTTTACCAAAACTGAAGCATTCACACTAACAAATACTATTTGCTTTCCCTTTCTTTGATCCATATTTTAAGCACAAGATCAGCAGGATGTGTGAAGTGGGATTTTCAGTTATTTTGGTTTAAATCTGGTGCCATTTTACTAGGGGTACTGTGGACTGGTTTTCTCACCTTTCTCATTCTGAGGTGATTATCATTGGTTTGAGGCAATGTGGTTTTTGAATGGTAGATGTTACTGACTAGTGCAAGCAGGTAGAATGCAAGAGCAGACTGTGTGCAGGCTCCTCGGAGAGTACTGTATTTTGTAGCATCCTGTACAGCATGGAATATCTGACTGTGTACAGCAGCTTTATACAACTCTGTATCCAGCAGCTTACAGGAACAGGGATATCATTGCATACTGTGTCACATCATGTTTTGAAGACTGTGAGGATACTATAGTGAGGGGACAGCTGGCCAGCTACTGAAGCACGGGCGTAATTCTGGTGCCTCTAATCAAGAGACAAAGTATATCTTAGTCATCACAGAGTGCCTGTGGGAGAGGAGCAACAGCACTTGCAGTTTACTCAAGAATTATTATAACAAGTATACAGCACATGTGCCCATGAAGAATTAAAAAGACATTTGCAGAGGCTGTGATGAGTGTGACTACCCCTCCAGCCAGATTTTTGCTGTTCCTTTTCAGTTTTTATTTCAAGGAACTTATGGCAAGATAACTGATAGCATAGAAGTTTGTCCTGAGTCAAAAGCAAGGGAGAAACATCTAGCTCTGTGCTGGCAAGAATAGAGCTGTGTCACACTCTTTTCCTTAGGATGCAGCTTTTAGGGGTGTAGAGGTGGGCACCAGGAATGCACAGCTAGTTCAAGCTCGGGGAGTGCTTTACGGCAGCATGCTGGCATGCCACAGTCACACTCCAGTCCTCCTGTATGCAGCACTCTAGAAGTCCATGGAGATATCCAGAAGGGTCCAATGCCTTCATTCATGTTGCTTTTTTCATGGGATGTTGGTTTAATGATTGAGGTTTGAGTCATAAAAGAAGTGGGGTGCTGGTCTTGATGTTTTGTTTTGTTCCTTTCCTGCAGAATTCGATCCGGCACAACTTGTCACTCCACAGCCGATTCGTCAGGGTGCAGAATGAAGGCACTGGGAAAAGCTCTTGGTGGATGATCAATCCAGATGGTGGAAAAGGTGGCAAGGCACCCCGGAGACGTGCTGTGTCCATGGACAACAGCAACAAGTACACCAAGAGCAGAGGGCGGGCGGCTAAGAAAAAGGCAGCCCTGCAGACTGCCCAGGAAACAAGTGAGGACAGCCCTTCTCAGCTCTCCAAGTGGCCAGGGAGTCCCACATCCCGCAGCAGTGACGAGCTGGATGCATGGACAGATTTTCGCTCCCGTACAAATTCAAATGCCAGTACGATCAGCGGCCGCTTGTCACCAATTTTGGCAAGCACTGAACTAGATGATGTTCAAGATGACGATGCTCCACTTTCTCCCATGCTGTACAGTAGTCCATCGAGCTTGTCCCCATCGGTAAACAAACCATGTACTGTGGAGTTGCCTAGGTTGACTGATATGGCTGGGACAATGAACTTGAATGATGGACTGACAGATAACCTCATGGATGATCTCTTGGACAATATAACACTCCCTCCCTCCCAGCAGTCACCCACTGGAGGGATAATGCAGAGAAGCTCCAGTTTTCCTTATGGTTCCAAAGGTTCAGGGCTGGGTTCCCCATCAAGTAGTTTCAACAACGCTGTGTTCGGGCCATCGTCCCTGAATTCCCTCCGCCAGTCGCCCATGCAGACAATTCAGGAGAACAAGCAGGCCACCTTCTCTTCCATTTCTCATTACAACAACCAGACGCTGCAGGATCTTCTTGCCTCTGATGCACTTAGTCACAGCGATGTCATGATGACACAGTCTGACCCACTCATGTCACAAGCCAGCACAGCTGTGTCTGCCCAGAATTCCCGCAGAAATATAATGCTCCGCAACGACCCTATGATGTCGTTTGCTGCACAGTCCAGCCAGGGTGGTCTGGTCAATCAGAACCTGTCACATCACCAGCACCAGTCCCACAACTCCTCTCTTAGTGGCAGCCGTGCCTTGTCCAATTCCATCAGTAACATAGGCTTAAGTGACTCCAGCAGCTTGGGATCCACCAAACATCAGCAGTCACCTGTCAATCAGTCTATGCAAACACTTTCTGACCCGCTGTCAGGCTCCTCTTTGTACTCTTCTAGTGTGAACCTCCCGGTCATGGGACATGAGAAATTCCCAAGTGACTTGGACTTGGATATTTTCAATGGGAGCCTGGAGTGTGACATGGAGTCCATTATCCGCAGTGAACTCATGGATGCCGATGGGCTGGATTTTAACTTTGATTCCCTCATCTCAGCTCAGAATGTTGTCAGTCTGAATGTGGGGAACTTCACTGGTGCTAAACAGGCTTCATCACAGAGTTGGGTGCCAGGCTGAAGGATCTTTGAGAGCAGGGAAAATGGGCAAACAGGTCAGTGCCCCATAGATGTGGTAAAGTAATTGGTTCCTTAGTTTTATTGGAGTTTGCACAAAACCCTTAATAGTTAGTGCACACTAATAATATTAATTTGGCCTGTGATGGCTTGCTCTGTGTTTGTATGCAACAGGCACGACCAAGAAACGTGGAGATGTGGAGGGAAACGAGGCTAAGCTATAAAAGCTGTTCAACTGCAACACTGTCAGGATGCATCTGATGCTTAGCGTCCTTCTTAATTTAGGCATGAGAAATGTTAATGACAAATCAGACAAACCAAGGTGGAATATTTGTGGGTTTTAGGAATCACAGAGCTCTAACTCATCTTCTTTGAAGTCGCAACAGATGGATTCTTTCTTGCAGCCAATGCCAGATGTAGCCAAGCTGTGTTACACAGGGATGGGGCGAGGGGCTCTGCAGTCAGTCCAACAGCGTTGCTGCAGGGGAGGAAGATGAGTGTCTTTGCAAGATCAGTGTACTCACTGCAGATTGGGTGTGTGGGACAGATCTAGACAGAATCAGAGTTGTACTGCTGCTGTGGTAGAGCAACGCTAGCAAAGTTGTTTGTTTCTTTGTTTGTTTAAATTGTACTTCTTGGGGGAAAAAAAAAAGGTAGCAAATGGAGGAATTATATGTTGGAATAGCAAAGGTGAGATCCTGGTCTCAGGAATGTCCTGGGTTTAATGTTTTAAGTAAGCAAAAATTGTTGCACTTCTTCCCCACTGAGGGGGGTAGATGTAATTTTCTTTTGGACTCCAGCAAGAGAATATCTGTAGGTTTGGGTTCTGGCATAGATGCTTTTTAAATGTTAGCCTCCTCAGATTAACTTTTTTTCCAGATTGATCCATTCTTTTCCATTGCTTATTTTCCACAACTGGGGGCATCTGAACTTGTAAACATTGTTTCTGTCATCCTTCTATGATTCTACAGGCTCCTGCCCATATCTCTGCCTGCTCACATGTACATAGTTCGTGACTCATAGGACAGGTGCCACACAAAGTGCCCTTTCTCCTTTATTTATTAGTATAAGGGAGTAGATATCAAAATACAGTAGGATAAAAGGTTAGCTATAAATTATTGAAAGTGTTCTATTAACTTCAAAATAGTATGTAGGGTATCTCAGTGGTGAAGTTATACAAGGCATTCATTCAGTTTGCAGCTTACTTCCAGCTTTCTTATTTTCCAGATGAAGGATGGAAAGAAGGAGTTGGTGTCATTTGACTTTACAATGCATAATTTGCCCCTTTCATCTTTAATTGTGTTTTTGGGCACTGTTTCACAGTTAGATGTTCAAGGGGAAGCTTTGTGGTAGGTGAGCAGCAGTGGTGAACCTCCTGAATGCTTTCCTGTTTCCTGTGTGTACGGAGGACCTCAGGAGACATGTACTGTGATCTGCTGTCTGTGAGGGAGAACAAGACTGCTCAGGCATTCTATATTCAGTCAATCTGCAAAGTTGCTGTGCTCTGATGGAGTGGTTGGTTTGCACAGTCCTTTCTGTTTCAGTAGAAGGATTTCCTCTGGTTCTTGCACATCTCACTCAAAGTGAGAGTGTTGCAGTGCACGGCCAGGAGACAGGCTGTGGAGATGGACTGTAGAGGACACCATGTCCTGCTGACCCTGTGTGAGATGGCAACTTGGCAAGTCAAGGGCCACAGCTGAATTTTGGGTTTTCTTTAGTTCCAGTGATGGAGAATTTAGGAAAGGAAAGGGAGAAAAAGAGAATTGTCTTGAGAACCAGGATGCAAAAATTTGCAGAAAGTCATGCTTTCTGACCAGTTCTCTCTTCCTCTATTTGGATTTAAAAACCTTCTTTGCATGATGTAAAAAAAAAAGGCCCTAGGAACTTTATTGCTATGAAACATCCAGCAGTACAATCTGTCAAATGGGGCCTGAAAAATAGATGTTATTGACAGTTTTGCTTGACACAGACAAGTAGGGCAGCCTCCTGCTTCCATAGCTTCATTTGCTATGTGTAGGTAGAAGCCGCCGCAGGGAGACTTGCCTAGGCAGCACAGAGACACACCAGCCCACCTCCTCACTGATGCTCACTGCTGCCTCTTCACCCCGGCCTCTGGCAGTCACAGAAAGCATAGCTGCCGTGATCCTTTTCAGGCTACTCCCTCCGAATAAAGGAACTGACACATCTGTGTGAGCCGAGTCTCATTGCAGAGGACAGATTTATTAACGAGACAGCTCTCCTCAGTGGATTACTGTCCAGTCATCTGTGGAAGCCTTTCTCCCTCTCTCTGACAAGTGGACCGGCTGCTGTGGGGTGCCTCTGGTATCAGGTGCAAGCGCAGATGATTTCTGCTGAGCTGGTTCATCATGCACCCTTCCTCATCTGTTAAGCAGCACTGTTTGAGAGTATCCCTCCCTACGAGCATCTCATATTTTGATAGGGACTCCTTGCATGACATCAGATGCAATCATTCTGAACTGCTCTTCTCCGTTACTTTCTCCGCTGTAGCAGTGGGAACCCCTGAATTAAAATCTTCTCTCAGCAATGTTCATGACCCCAGTAATGAATCTTACAGGCTCCGAAGACTGGGGAATGCTTTCAGCAAAACAGCCTGATGATTGCTCATATTAAATCCGTTTCAAAAGGGCAGCCAGGTGTGTTTTACAGGCAGGCAGAAGCAGTTACAATAGGTTATTGGCATACCTGAGAATAGTGAGTGCTGTGTCTTCTATGAAAAATAAGAGAAACGTTGGAGTAAGTTTTCAGGAAGAAAAGAAAGAAGGCAAATACATAGGTATTTAATTTATACATACTGTAGGTATAGGGGGAGGTTTACTTTGGAAGAAAATCAACTACAATTTCTTCATTGGGGAATTAAAAAAGCCCTGCAGGAGATGCCACCATTGCAAGTTAGTGTCTTTGCACATTTGCTGTACACAAGCCCATGCGTGGTCTCTGGAGAGAGCCCCACCCAATCCCACCATGCTGGCCTGTGCCTGTAAGGCTGGCCATGCCCAGCCTTTCAGAGGGCTCTCATTGAGGCATATAAATGAATTTGGGTTTGTTTTGGGTTTTTTCTCTTATAAGAAGAAAAAGAAAAAATCAGTATGTTTTTCTCTTGCTTTATGCACTCAGCCATAATTTTCTCCTCTTACACTGCCTGGGGCCTCTGTTCCTCTATCTCTACCTGCTTCTCAAGAGCACTGGATAATGCCCTCTGCCCACTCAGATAATCATCACCTAGGTATTTCAGCTTGTTTATCAATAAATAAAGACATCACTATTCCCTCACCTGTCTCTAGAATACCTTTTATTTTGAAACTATTGGGTCTTCTCCTAGTCTGGGGTTCTCACAACTCTGTACTTTGCTCTGGGGTCCTTCTCAGCTGACAAGTCCAAAAGGACTTGGTTTTTTCCAAAGAGTAGTCCCAACAGAATATCAGGGGAGACTATTCAGGACATTTGCTACTGCCTGGAAGGACAGAAGCTGGTGAACAATTACCACTTGGGCAAACATTTTGTCCAGCATTAAAACCCATCCAAGAAGTTGTTTACCTGGATTGTTTCAGTGATCCAGTTTATGGTGGCACCATGCAGAATGCCATCAATGCTGGCAGGGTTGGGCATGGGTGGAGAATGGCTTGGCACAAGCAGGGCAGGAACTTCTTGAGCTGGTGTCACCATCTGAAAAACTCATCTAAGCTACATCTGAGAGAGATTTCAAGTGCCATTTAGCAGGATGCCTCTGGGCTCTGTAACAGAGCTGTGCTGGAGTCACGTTGACTTGTTTGAAAATTACATGTAAAATACTTGACAGATCAGTTAAAGTCACTCATTTTCCCCTAGTATCATATGGGTCCCATGTCATCTTACTGCAGCAGTAGAGTGCTGCAAATAGCAACATCATGTAACGTTCACACAATTTGATGATTAACATCTCTGATTAAAAAAAATCTTAGGAAACCTAGCAAAATGCCTGTTGGTATTTCATTAGTCTATATCAGATTGAACTACTTGCCAATTTGTTAATTGGTGTTCAACCTGTTTCTGGGTACAATTCATACCAAAGATGAATAGGTCTGAGGATGACTTAGTATTTACAACACCATCTTAAAAGTGAAAATAGTTAGTCAAAGATCTCCATTTTGATGGAGTTTTGAATCAGAGAGTTCTGTACAATATGCCACAAAAAAGATGATTTTTGTTTTCTACCAGAAGTCCTATGCCCATGAAAGCTTTAATGCAGAAATCAGAATTGGTGGATGACTTGCCTGAGGACACTGACTGCCTCAGGACCATACTTGCCACTCTTACTATCAAAAATAAGGTCTTTAGGGGTGGGGCTGACAGGTTTCTTACACAGACCCAAGTTGGGGCTGGCTGCCTGTAAAATATCTAAAGGAAATTCAAGAGCAGGAAATTCTTCTGCTCCATTTCTAATGGGTTAGTGGTTAAAGTGGTGGTTCTTGTAACATTTAAGTGTTGTTTCTACCAGTGCAAGTTTTGAAAGGTGGTTTTGTGACTAGCTGAACACCACACATGCCAAGTTTGGTCTTTGAACAAAAATATCTATGTAGAAAATGTGTTTTGTGAGGAACGGGGATTCCTTTCACTCCAAGGAGGGCCTGCCCTGAGCAGGCTTCTCGGTCACCAAGCACACATCAGTGGCAGAGGACCAAACTCCATGCTCGTGGCTGCTGGGGAAGAGGAGAAGGGAAAGCGAGGCAAACCCCACTGGGGCTGCCTCCCGTGCAGGCCCACCGAAGCCCTTCGAAGCCCCTTGCACGCAGAGGCCAGTCCTGTGCTTGCAGGGATGATGTGGCTTTTGCTGTGTGAAGGCAGCAGGAGCTGACACAATGAATTGCTCACTCGTTCTGGGAGTAGAGCTTTTTGGGTTTGGTAGTTTTTTAGTCTGGGTTTATGTTTGGGGGTTTTATTAACCCAGGACAAAGGTCTGTAAAAGCCAGGATTGCCTCCACAAGTTTGTGTTGTGATTGTACAGCAGCTGAAGCCAGGACAGTGGTCTGATCCTGTGGTT